ACAGTTGTAGGTGATGATAGCGAATGCCAGGAGTTCGAACGCGGACAATCCTCGTCGGATGAAAGATGACAGTTGTGGTGAAGGGGTGACACGTGCCGCAGTGCTTACATCTCTTTGCATTATGATCCCCGGCAACTCCGGGAAGTCCGGCGGATAAATTCAAAGCTCGCAGCTTGTGTGGGCAGCCCACAGACCTACGAATACGACCACTGTTGCACGATAAAATGTGCGTTGGGGTAGAACCACAAGTACTTTACTTATTACTTAGAGGTGCAATCATGCTTTCGGCACAATTTCGGCATTGTTCCAGAAACAGCAATGATATCCATCGCATCACAACAAAGCACATCCACGTCTCAGAGTCTCTCACTTGTTTCAAATTGCCCACAACTCCACTTCCCGATGAGGAAGGTGATGAGGCAGTGTCTTTCGGATCATTTTGATCAGAACAGTCTGCAAATCGATTGCCGTCGGCAGATAATTGTGAAAATTTACAAGTCCGCTGACAATGAAAATCAAAGTTTTAGGCTAGCTATTGGATACATCGTGTGTACGCGGGAACGGACGACGGGACGGGGAAGGGGTATATGTAAGGTGTGAGGCATGGCACGCTCGCTGCGGGTAACTCAGGGGCGGGGCAGCTTCGAGCGCGCGCAAGCTGGTCAGACCTGGGAGGACGGCGTCAACAGCCGTGGTGCCTGGGCCTACTGAGCTGAGGGCGGGGCTTGACCGTCAACGGCTGGACGATCTCAACGTCGCTGTGGTCGGGCGAGATGGGCGGGAAGGGGCACGTGCATTCGGGGTGAGAGGGCCGTTCCTTGAGCGGGAGGTATTCCAGGTCGTAGTGGGCGACAGAGGCGTGAGGGAGGTCAACGCGTCGTGGGGCGCTGCTGGGCGTGCTTGAGTTAGCGATACCAAGTGTGGTGTGGGTGGGCTGTCGGGCTGGTGTCCACTGGAGAAGGTGTAAAAGAGCTTTCCATGGCTCTTCGTGCCCTTGGGAGAGAGTTTGGTCAACGGCGGGACTGAAATGGAGGGGATACTGCGACGCACGAGTCTCGAGAGGACACCCTTCGTCCTTCAGCGACAGCTGCAGTGTCTCGCTCACACAGAATAGACAGTAGAAAGAACGCTCGAGCGGTCGTTGATATCGCACATGGCTGGCGGGAGGGTGGCGGGGACGTAGCGGTTTTGCGCAGGAAGGAGTGAGGATGGAAGCGAGAGGCAAGCGAGCCACAACAAAGGGCGGCGAGAATACGGCAGCACGGATGGCCGAAGAACTGGCCGAGAACAGCGCCACCATCACCTTCCTCATTGGGAAGTGGAGCTGTGGGCAAATGCCAACAGTGGAGTCTCTCTGTCTTTTCCGAGTCGCACCGAAACTCAAGTGTTGATCCAGGTCAACGATTTCCGTGCATAAACAACAAGATGCTGACACACCTAGACCCATGCACTCCCCCTTCTCCAGCATCCTCCATACGAGCGCCGTGCCTTCACACGCGGAATGCCAGCAAATCAAGGACCTCCTTCGCGTTCCACGCCAGGAGATGGCTCGTCTGCAACATCTGATTGACGAGGCGACTCAAAGAAAAGATGAACTCCAACACTTCGTGGATGCACACACCGCCCTGTTGTCGTCAGCGCGACGCCTTCCGGACGACATCCTCCGGGAGATCTTCCTCGCATGCCTTTCCCCGACAGGCAACCCCGCCTTCTGTACCGACCAGTCGCCTCTACTCGTCTCCCAAATCTCCAGTGCTTGGCGCAGAGTCGCTCTCTCGACACCCCGTCTTTGGGCATCCATGCACATCGCGGTGCCAGATCAAAAGAGGCTCGACGGTCTCACAGAACAAATCAGTCTATGGTTATCCAGATCCGGAGCCGTCCCTCTGTCGATCTCGTTAGCCTTCTCTCAAACGGCCACCTGGACGCCGGATGGACTTTGCGATATATCATCGCTTCTCTCCATTCTTCTCATGGAGTCCCAGCGGTGGCGGAACATCCATTTGACAGTGTCGAATGCAGCTGCGAATTTCTTCATCCCTCGACTCATCTCTGCCGACGTCCCTCTGCTGCATTCGATGTCGTTCAGCAATGACGTCCCTTATAATGCTCGAACGTGGACGCCCGATGTGGACTTTTCACATCCGCCGCTATCGTTCCTGGGGACTGATAGCCTGCGCAGTTTGACTACCTCTGTTTACAGCCTCGGTCTACACACACCCGCGGTCGTGTCCTGGTACACTCTAGTTCACCTGAAGTTGGAGGCGGACAGCCACGGGGGTATCTCTTACTCCTCCGCTCTGCAGGTCTTGTCGCAATGTCACTTCCTCGAGTACTGTGTGATTCCCCTCCACCGGCCCCACCGGGACTCTCCACCCGCAGCCAGCGTCGCACATTTCGCCCTCCCATATCTCACCGAGTTGTATCTTGGCGTGGCGTTCAACGCATTCGACCAACACACCAAATTCTTCAGTTGCATGTCTCTCCCGGCCCTGCGTTCGCTGCAATGCAGGGGTAGTGGTATCCGCACCAACGATGGGCGCGTCCTCCGCGAAGCCTTCTTCCCGCAAGACTTATCTACGCTCGAGCATCTCAAGTTCGAGGTCCCCCGTTTTCCCAAGGCCGTGTTCCTCGACATGCTCCCGGAGATGACGTCCCTGCGGAAGCTGCACATGACGCGCGAGTTGCTGTTGGAACAACCCGTCGAGGGAGATGATGCGATGCACACGTCCGACCTGCTCGTGCACCTCACCGTCCCTGACTCCGGAGAAGTTGTACTTCCACAGCTTCGACAACTGGATCTCGGGACATTCAGAGCTCAGCCTGAATCCCAAATTGTCAACTTCGTTCGATCTAGACGGGCGGGCTCTCGCGTCGGCGTGGCGCGGCTCGAGCGGTTCTCTGGGAGATTGGATCGATTGTCTGGGATCGAGGTCTTGGAGAAACTCGTGGATGAAGTGGCTGAAGGGTTGGAGATGGAGCTGAGGTATACTGGATTCCCGCCACCTCGATATTCGCCGATGGAAGGGATCCTGTAGCCCCGAGTGAAGCTTGAAGAATTTCATTGCGCACACTTTTTCTCGTCTCTCTCTTTTATTTACCTTTGTTTTCAACAGGCCGTGAATATTGTTGCTACTGAATCGCGATACGATCACAGAAGACCTGTGAGCTTTGACCACTTCTTCGTTCGAGAAGCTTTGACCTTGGTGGTGTGGCACGAGCGAATTGTTCAAGAAAATACCTTTGCGGCCCAAGCGCTGGTCTGTGATGGCCAGTATAAAATACCATGTCTGCTTCGTCTCTGCCCATCACCATGTCCCGCCGAATCTCGCACCATCAAACCCCTAAGACTTTCGAACTGCCCTCGTTCACCCAATTGCTCTCCGAGGTGAATCAGCTGGAGCGCATCCCGCTCGGCGATTCCTCTCCCAGTGAGGTGCGTCTTTGTATCTTGTGAAATCCTACTCAGCTTTACTGAATGCCTCGTTCGGATTCAGACTTCTCCCCTGTCGCACCCTGGGATCCAAATGGACGAGACCCTCCATATCGGGCCCCCGGTATGCTCTGGGTGTTATCTGCACGAGAGTAACGGACGATACACACCCTCGCGGGTTCTATTCACTCCCGTTAATCTCCCCAACTCCGAATCCTCCAACGCACATCCTGTCGGTATTTCCCTGAAAGCCCTGTTCGAGGGCCGGCGTTGCATGGAATTTCCCAACGCCGTGGTCCTGCCGACACAGCCTCTAGGTTTGTTCTGGCTCAACTTGAACGTGCGTCCGGACTCCGATTCACTTTTCGCTTTTCCTCCTCTGACATTGGTATTTTGCCTCAGGCCTGCGGGATGCAGTTTTGGGCGTTCTTGATAGAATTCAACAGTTCGGAAGTGTGGGACTGCACTTACTAAGTTACTCTACACGCTGACTGGTGAACTTGAATGAACACCAACCGCTTCAAACCATCATCGATGAAATATGTTGAGGTCACGGTTGAGGAGTCTTGGAAGGAGTCCATGCGCTTGAGCGCGTATTGTTCCACTGGTGCCGCGTGCGAGGTTCAAGACTTCAAGTTGAACTTGGCGGTGGAAACTCCGGCCTTGAGTTGGCCCTCTGAATCTGCAGCCATAGCCTTCATATGAATGAACAAACTTGGTGAGACTCTTCCCAGATGGAGTTCCAGATAGCACTCAGCCAACACTCAGCAGAATCCAACTGGAGCGGGAATCCAACGCAATTGATGACCACGTCAATCAACAGTCATCACGTCGGAGTCGCGCTCGCTCTGGGCTGCGCTCTCCCGCCGACTGCCCGCCTACCGCCCATGCCTTTCCCATGTCAATGATGTCACACATCTCAGTCCCTGGCCTTCACGGGGAGTCGTGGCGCAATGGCTAGCGTGTTTGGAGAACGGAGCCTCACATGCAGCCGCGCGCACCACAAATCTACAATCCCATGCCTTTCCTATGTGTCACCTCCCAGTCCCTGGCCTTCAATTGGAGTCGTGGCGCAATAGCTAGCGTGTTTGGAGAACGAAGCCTCACATGCAGCGGTGCGCTGAATGCCCATTGCAACACGAGACGAATTGGCAGGCGTCGGGCGATGCCAAGACCAATATCCCAACTCGCCGAATCGAGCCGCTTTACCAAATACGTTTGATGAATGCCGAAGTTGAACACTTCAACAGTCGAAGTCCAACTTCATTGTTAGAGGACTGTCAGGTTTTGGTCAGGTTCATGTACTTACTTCTCGATAAAGGGGGCAGAATGAGTGTCAACACTTTGGTGTGCTTCACATTGTGAGACTGGCAACTGGGTTCTCATGTCCCACCTCTCGCCGGCCACTCCGTGGCCTTCATCGGAGTCGTGGCGCAATGGCTAGCGTGTTTGGAGAAGGGAGCCTCACATGCAACCGCGCGCAACACAAAAGTACTTGAGTACGAATCTACATTCTCATACCTTTCCCATGTCCCACCTCTCCCCGGCCAATCCCCGGCCTTCAATTGGAGTCGTGGCGCAATGGCTAGCGTGTTTGGCTTCGATTGCCCAAACAACCAAAAGGCTGCAGGTTCGAGTCCTGCCGACTTCGCTTTTTTTGAAGATCTTCGTTCCCTCACAAATTTCCCGGGAAACTTCCTGCTTTTCATACCAGTACTTCTGTACAATCACATTACAAAGCCTCAGTGTTTTTCGTCCATTTTCTCAATAGACACAAGGCTGCAGGGTTCCAGGTGCTGCCCACTTCGCCTTTTATACTCCCGTGCCTCACAGATTCCATGGCCAACACTTAGAAATGTTACTTCATTACGATGCAAACCCCACCGGCGGCGCGAGGCGCCGCCGCCGCCGCGGTGCCGGGTGGCCTTCACGCTCTTTCACACCGACAAGCTGGTTTGGATTTACATCCATACTAGTAGTGCAAAAGACCCAGATAGATTGTTCGACTTCCATTGCTTCAATAACCAAAGCGCTGCAAACCTGGCTTTTGCTACCCCTCCTCCTGGTTTGCAGCTTCTTTGGAAGCCAGTTGAACCAGCAAGGAACCACGACTTTCCTTTCATTCATGATACTCGCAGATACCCCTCTGCATAGCTGGAGTTGAGAATATCCAACTACGCAAGGCTGCCAGAAGAAAAAGGTTGCACTTGAACGCGTTGCTCGCACCTAATTTCGACATTTCCGCCGCTTCTTTTCCTCCACAAAACCCCGTAACATAGATGATCCAACCACAAGAGCTAATGTAATTAGACATAATCCTGCGTCCCCTCCAGGGCCGAATACGCAGCCGGCATTTCAAGATACGTGAGATCAACCTTGAGACCCGCGGCCACCGCCTCCTGGATTTCCGGAACAGCCATGATATCGAGTTGAATCCCTCGTTGAAAGTCGCAAACAACGCGCGAGAGGGGAGAGTGTAACCGGGACTGGATAAATTGAAGGAGAGTCTCGTCCGGGAGAGCTTGGAATCCCGCCAGTTTGAGCATTTGGAGCTGAGGACACGGCGGCTGTGGAGTTTCGGCCGTCGGCATGAGATGGATGAGAAAGTTGAGGTCCTGGGTGTGCGGTTCAGATGATATGGAAAGTTCTCGAAGGGCAGGCGTCTCCGAGAGAATCTCGATGAGGAGCTCCGTAGGTAGGTTACCCAAATCCACGTGCAGGTATTCGAGCATGTGAAGCTCGTTAGGGAAGATCTGCTGACGCGGAAAAGGTATTTGTCCCGGTCGAATGAGACCTTGAGAGTGGAAGGAGCGGAGAATGGGGAGTGTGAGGTCCTTGAATAGCTGTGTGGCTCCATCCAAAAGCGAGGTCCGCTCCTCGTTCAAAACGGTGAGCTCGGTGAGGAATGGAAGTGAAATTTGTTGGGGTCGTGAATATGAGATAGAGGCCGCATGGTTGGCCCTGACAATGTAGAGCTTGCATGTTTCGAGGAGAGGGCACCGTGATAAGATGCCCAGGGCGATGTCGTTTGTGATCCCTCGACGCAGGTAGCGTAGGATGGACAAGTGTTTTAAATTTCTCCAGACTATCGGCGCCCGGAGATATATTTCCGACCCCGGAATCGTCAGGCTTTGAAGGTTGTTGGCGCCCAAGAGACGCCACACGGGGTTAGAGTCCGACTGTATGTTTTGTGGAGCCAGTAGCGCTATTACCGGGTTACGGGGTCGAAATTCGACCGAGAAGGAGCGCAACAGGGGGACGGCCTCCGGATCGAGCATACAGATGGGGGAGTAGCTCGGGGAGTCCGTGAAGATGAGGTGGATTCTGCTCCATCGGTGACACTCCGCAAGGAGGACCGATAATAGTGGGGAAATGTCGCAACCCGAGTCTGTGTTGGCATCTGCGAAGGCGGCCTTGGAGAACCCAAGCGATATATTCAACGGAACGGCACCGGATCTGCGCAACCAGGCGCCGACCTGGTCTGTCAGACGGCTAACCTTCCCCTCGTCCGGGACAGCGATGTGGATTGAGACCCAGAGGCGCGGCGTCTCCAGCGCAATGTGACGCCACGCGCTGCAAATCTGGCCCAAAAGCAGAGGTGATTCCTGCCAGGAAATGGCGGGATTCCTGTGTTCCGGCAGTGAAGCCAAGAATACGGCCCGGACGATATCGTCTGGGAGTCTGCGGGCCGGGGACAACAAGGCAAGATGTGCGTCCGTGAAGGAGTGGAGATCGTCCCGCTTTTGGTATGCCACGTAGAGCAGTTTCTCAAGGCGAGCGATCTCCTGGTCGAGTTGTACTAGCTGCTGGAGAGGGTCCTCCAGAGACTGGCGGATCTGTTGGCACTCTCGATCTGAGGGCACGGTGTTGGTACGCAGGATGTCACTGAACGGAGAGTCCATCTGTCATCGCGGTGAGTGCCGGCCGTTTCTCGATTCAACTGGCTTGCCTTGGGATAGTCTGGATTGAGGTGCTCACTGCTGGTGAGGGCAAGGTGAGAGAGAAGCGATCAAGGCTGTGCTGACAGTATCTAAGTACATATATACTGTCAGCCTGTCATCTTCGCGTCATCCATGCATTCAACAGAAGCAGACTTCGAGGCGAATACCGTACTTTTTCCAAGATCCTGCAGTTCACTGCAAACGTCCTCGCAAGGTTTTCAAATTCAACTGTGCCTCGTTACAGTTGGCCTCGAGAGATTGATTTTCTACACTTGAGATGCCAGACTAATCTCTCCGGGTACTACTTGACCGGTGGACTTTTTTGTCCGCCTTCTCCGGCAAATATCTAACCGCAACCCAAAACCCGAGCGCCAAACTGGTGAGGAGCACCCAAATAATCTGACCTCCAAGTATCTGCGTCCGCGCGCCGATGGCAAAGATGCTGGAAAACACCCCTGGGATGAGGGCGCGCAACGCAGCGGTGAGTGTGAGTGAGATCGCAGTGAGGGTACCCAGGGTGTTGGGTGCTGGTGCGACATCGTTCACGGCGAGTTGCATGGAGGCTGCGAAATGTTTGTCTTCTACTCGATTCAAGAGAGAAGAAAGACTCACTGTAGCACCAACTAACCGACGCCCCACAGATCTGCAAGGCCGGCAGCATAATCCAAAAGGCTTTCGTCCACCCGTTCTTGAGTAAAAGATTCGCGACGGGGTTGAGAGCCATAAAGATGGGATAAACGTATGTGAAGCGTCGGAAGACGCCGTTTGTGCCCCAGCGTCGCTGTACAAATGGATAAGGGATAAGCCAGATTGCTTGAGAGAGTCCGGTGAGGCCGAGGAAGAAGGATATTTGGAGAGGGGAGAGGCCAAGGCCGCCCAAATGGACTATTGTAAGTGTGAGCTTCGAATAGATGGATGGAGAGAAGAATCTTACCGGAGGTGAACCAGAATAAAGTAATGACTATATGGATTTGTTTGAATTCATCATTCAAGACAAGAAGGATACGGACCTGCGGTGTAACCGAGCCCGATGAGAGCCAAATGGGAGGACACAAACAGAACGGCAGCGACTCCAGGTGCCTTGAGAACCTCCCAAGTAGACATCGGAGGGGATGCAGAGCCTGAGGATTTCCCGTCCTTGGAATTATCCAGAGTCTAGTCCAAGTCAGCCAACTCCGTGAAACGTGGAAGGAAATCCGACCTCTTTGACATAAACAGCACACAAGACAGCGGCACTGGCAGCTACACTGCCCGTGACGAGCGTAGGGAGCAGGTATGGGTACACCTCGAAGAGATATATCCGACCGAAAATGGAGGGATAGTTGATGGTCGGCTCGGACAGGGAACCGCCTGAGAAGCGTCAGTCAAGGGGACAATGGAGATGGAAACGACCGACCGATTAGCGGTCCCAGGAAAATGCCAATGTTCCCCGCGAAGGAAAAGAGGCTGAAAGCTTGCGCCTGCGTGGCAGGGGTAGAATTCTCCGTGATCATAGCACGGATCGTCCTGCGTAAAATGAGCACGGAGCACCAGAAGAAGCACCAAAGACATACACGACAGACCCGGCGAACGCGCCAGCAAGACACCGGAACATGATCATTTGCCAGATGCCTTGGCTCAATCCAAACATGGCCGAGGCGACGGACATACCGCAAAGGGAGAATATCAAGACGGGTTTGCGGCCTATGCGATCCGAGACGCGTCCGTAGCCAATCATGACCAGCATTTGGGTCAAGGAGAAGAGGGATTCCTGCGAAAGGCGTCATGAGCACCACCCACTTGAAACACTGTGAGTGGACGTACAATCAGCCCAGCGTAGAATCCAACGTCCGTCTCGGGAATCCCAGCTTGCTCGTTGATCATTTTATTGATAAACGGAAAGATGGAGAAGAAGGCTATGGGGTCGATGAGGCGCGCGTAGCAGAGGAGCAGAATTTGGCCCATCGGTAGAGGCTTTTCGACGGGCTCGGGTTCGCCATCGGAGCGCCTGTTCTCGGTGTCTACGAGGAGAGGAGTCGTCTCTGAAGCATCCGCAGCTCGGGGCGACATGGTGGTTTGACCGTGAGGGCGAGTCACATGGGTTTCACAAAAAGGATGATAAATCGTTGATAGATCCGGAAGAGTTTCGGATAACGCCATACCTTTTGAAATTTTCTGACTCTGAGTCTGAATCTGGACATCTATGCAACGAAATTCGGCTTGGGAAGGATGTGGAGGAGAATGTTCCTCCGAAGCCACGGAGATTCCCAAGGTTCTCTTGAAACTTGACCAAAACTCGACTCGAGCCTTGCTCGAGCCCAGAACGGTGGACGACGGTGGCAATACTCATGTCCAAGAGTCCCATTAATTTCGCGTGGTGCCCATACGCATCTCGTCATCTACAAAAACGTCCAACGTACAGTGCTTTCCAAGAAAAAATGATGCTCTGCGCGTGTTGGAGTCGGACCAGTGGGAGAGCATGTTTCCCGCCCTGCGATCCCTTGCCACTCGAATGGCACACCAAATCCGTCGGAAGACGAAGCAAACGTCTACGCCTGGCATCGTCAGCCTAGAGAAAACAGGACAGTGGTATTCACGACGCACCGACGGTCAAACCATACGAGAGAGAACACACCTCAAAATCGTATGGAGAATGGACCAAGGTCATCGTCAGAATCCTCCACAGGCGCCTCCTGGACCTCTTTGGGTTTGCTCTTGGCCTTCTTCTTCT